TGTATGAACTTGATAAATCTTATACTGCTTGGGTCTTAATTTCTTCATCTGTAAGAAGATGGGGTTGAATCAAATTACTTTTTCCCTTTGTTAGTGTAGGTAATATTTTATTTCTGAAGGCAAGAGTGTGAGCTACTGTTTTTTTAAATTTTAATTCATCTAATATTTTTCAGTGCTTTTTGAGCTAGATGTATGTTAAGACCTCTGATGAAATTAAAGATATACAAAGATAAAGATATACAAAGATAAAGATATATTTCTGCTTATGTGTTATGGAGAAACAACAGAATTATTATTTTGCAGAGTTAAAAGTCTAGAGATTAGCCCTCAGGAGCGATATAGCCATCAGCTCAATCACATCATCAAGGGTTTTTCTCTCTGCCATCCTTAGTGTGTTGACTTCACTCTAAGATTAGTTTCTCTTGTGGTTGTTAGGTTGCTGCTAGCGGCAACCTTGGTTATGGGCTGACCTGGTAGGAAAGAGATTCCTTGCCTCCAAGTATGGACTAAAAATCTTTCCCTTTAGTCTGGTTGGGCCAATTTACTCCAGGACTAAAACAATTTTCAGGTGTTTTAATTAGAATAGTGTAAAACCTAGCATAACTTAGATTCTAGGTCATACTGCAATAAAAAAAAAAAAAAAAAAAAAAACCAACCCTCCAAATATTAGTGGCTTAAACAATAGAGGTATATTTTTTATTCAAACTATCCATCCTGACTTGATGAGGGTGAAAAGTTGGGTTTTCTACATCTTTTCTTGGGGACTTAGGCTGACAAAACTTTAACAATATTAGTCTTGAGTCTATGGCAGAGTAAAAAATGTAAGGACTTACATTTGCAATTAAATGTTTTACCTGGAAGTGACACATATCACTTCAAACCACAGCCCGCTATAGACTAATGAGTATAACAAGTCACATGGCCTAGCCAACTACAATGGAGGGGGTGGTGGCAGGGCTGTATATGTGAAAATGTAATCTCTGTATATGCCTGGAAAGACAGGGTAAGCATTACAAGTCTCTGTCATACCAGAGAATTCACTTACTGATTGACTCAGGCTAATTGAGTTGCCCTTTTGTAGATGGAGTTTGAATGGTTACCTAAAAAACAAGCAAAAACAAAAAAAGCAACTCTATTAATAAAGAAAATATAGGACTGGATGTTGAAAAAGAAATCAATAGTGTGAACTATGTGATACCTTATCCCAAAGGAGAAAGAAATTTCAGCCATGTAGGCACTTCACAGGGAGGAATAGTTTGGTTAGTTCAGTCAGCCTCTAAATCAATCACTTCATTTACTCTTCTGATTGGAAAGATTGGCTCTAGTTCTTTAATGAGTGGGTGTAGATAAAGTTCCTATTTAAGGAGTTGGCTCAAAAGTGACTTAAAACATTTATTGATTTTGAAAATATAGGTTATTTTTCCATATTTTGTTTTTGTAGTTACTGTCAAGCTGGTTAGATTTATAGTTCAGAACTGGCAACCAACTAAAATTTATCTAGTCCAATCCTTTTATTTTACAGATGAGAAAACTAAGGCCCAAATGGACAAAATGATTATTTCAAAGTCACTAAGACTTTGAAATAAAGATATATTTCTTGTATGTAGCACTAACAGTGCTGTCGTTTTGATGATCTACAACAAAATGGAATCCTCTAAGCAAGATGTAGCTACAGCAACAATTAGAAAACAGAACAATTAAAAATCATTAACAATGTTTCCAGGACTGATATCCTGTTGGTCTACACTGGGGAGATGAGAAAATTTCTAAACTATTTGGTGAGTAGCTGCTGCTGAACCTACTAGAGCCTCCTCAATGCTTCTCTGTGACCCCACAGATCCCCACCCCCTGTAATAACAAGGTCTACTGTGAAGGGTTGATTTGAAAATTACATGATGGAGGTAAAGAATTTATTATAGGGGCCAGTACTCAGCAATATTACACCTTGGAAATTATTTTATTATAGTCATTAATAAAATAGTAGTAAATTTCAAACTAGTTCCTACAAGAATGTTCACAGCTTTGGAAATGTGATAGTATTAAAGTTCATTAACTTTGATCCAGCTAATCTCTCAATAAAATTAGTACTCAGGTACTCAACTTTCATTTTGATATTTTCCATTGTTTAATGGTTGCCTCCTACTTGTCCCACTTGCAAGAACCCCACGGCTCTGGTTGATGACTAAGCATTTACATAGCCCAGGCTGTGTAAAAGAATATGATGTATAGTGGAACCTCGTTTGTCAAACAATTTGCTCTGGAAAACTGTTTAAGAAGTGATTTGTCCAAAAACAAAAATCTCCTTTTGCCTGAGAGACATGACTGATCATACGGGCATCAGCATAACAGGATTATTGGTCAGAGAGGCAAGACCTGAACTTTTGTTAGACAACCAAGACATTTTTTCCATGAACTACCTGTTTGAGAACCAATTGTTTGAGAACCACGACATTTGAGAACCAAGGTTTGACTGTGCTCAGAAGTTTCTGTTAGTTCTCAGTATAATGCCATAAAGAATGCTCTGTACAATGTTTTGCTGAGCAGAACTTATCTTTTAAGCCTTTGTATAAGCAAAGATAGGCTTAAAGCCTAATTGGTGAGGGAGGGGTGGAGGAAGTGGTGGAACACTTCTACTTTCTTAAGCAAATATCTGAAACTAGGAGTGATATGAAGCACAGGCAGGAAGCTGGGGTGAGAATAGAGAGTGAGAGGGCCGAGCAGCAAAGAGGGAGGCTGGAGAGTGTGGAGAAAACGTCCTTTGACAGAGGTGTGTTCTGAGGTGTAGAACCTTTTGGGGATACTTTCTCTCTCAGAAATTTACTGTAACCTATAAAGAGAAAAGCAAAGTTTTAGTGATATTCCTCTCTGGAGAGAGTAAAAGTTTTGTGTGTGTTTTTTTTTTGTTTGTTTGTTTTTTTAATGCTGGGGCTATTGTGAATTTTCTGTAAATTCATTATTGGCCTGGAACTTAACATGTAAAGATTTGTTCTCAAGTCAGTTATTTGATACTTCCAATTCTGAGGTGGCAGCTAAATCCTAGGCATGTCCTAGAAGGGGCTTTGATAACAGTGTTCTCTCACTGGCTGAGAAGCACATTGACTCAGCAGAGCACAACTGGAATCACTGAAGAACTAGTTTCTGCTAGAGACACCAGTTATTTGGAATTTTAATATATATTGTGCTGTAAAAATGCACTAATTCTTAGGTACACATTCCTTGGGCAGATTTTTTTTTTTTTCCCTGAGCAGGAGATAGAGAAGATAACTATTTTAATCCCTAGGTTTCTGGAAAAGAAAAATAAAGACCAGATAAACTGATGTTTTGAGGTAAATGTAAAGTTGTGAACGTGGAGATCTTGAGGTATTCTACAAGGTAAACTTTAAACATGTTTGCTAAAATACTTTTAAAAATGCTGTTTAAACTAAAAAGCAAGTATCCACCTCACTTCTGATTTCTAAAAATTATCTAGAGTATTACGGATAAGACTGGCCTTTAATCCATCTTACTATGGCATAAGCCTAAAATTTCTGTTTGTTTCCAATAACTAAAGACTGCAGAGGCTGCAGACCTTATACCAGAATTCTGTTCTGTTGATAAGCTTAGTGCAGAAACAGCTGCAGTGGATGGCAACCGTGATGTTGAATAGTGACTAAACCTACCTGGAACGTAATTCTGGCTCTGCTAGTGTAATTTTTGACCTTAGACAAGTCACTCCACTTTTAATCTTCTCTTCTTACAAGGTAATAGTGATAAAAATAACTAAACTACTTCGTGGAGAACTTTTTGTTTAAAGAGCTGCCCACAAATACTGGAGTCACAGTAGCAGAGCTTCTTTAGGGATAGGGAACTTTTTTCTCCTTTGAATCAGCAATATCTTATTTGTTTCTGTAATACAGTTCCTGGCCTTTGTCAATGTTTCAGTGAATACTGTTAATTTATGTACTATTAGGCAGATTAGTCTTGGCAGGCCACTGCCTCTTAAGCCTTTTTCCTGTGATCCCTTTCACACTCAGCATCTAAAAGGCCGCCGCTACTTGTTCTAGAATAAATACCCGAGGCATTTACTTAAAAATATCCAAGTCTAGAGACACAATTCTTCTGTCTTTAAGAACCATTTCACTTCCCGCGGCAACGCATCCCAGGCTCGGGATCTGGGTCTGGAGGCACAGGGAAGAGTTCGGCAAGGGAAGCTCATTCTCCTGTCCTCTTATTGGTCGGCTCGTACTCCACTCACTCAGCTTGCATCTCTGATTGGCCACTGTGGCACCCCCACTCTGCTCGAGACTACTTTGTGTGCCGGGACTGCGCGCTCAGGTTCTCTGTCTCGACTCGGCTTCTGGGCTGGTGAGCTAGCTCTTCGGCCCACTGCTTTGCATCCCCGGCGCCAGGAATTTCCCGAGTCTAAGCGGGTAGGAAGCATACTAAGGAAAAGCCCCCACACCCCTCCGTCCCGTGTTCTTTTCCGTACTGAATAAACTTCCGCCTCAGAGGGGCTGTCGCAGCCGCGGTTCGGGGGAGAGGCCAGGCATCGAACTCAGGCCCTCATGGGGGTGTTTTCTGTCCGGGCGAATGTGGAAACACAGCTCCCTCAAGATAAAGTGGGGCTTCGCTGGTCCCAAGTGGGTGAGATGCCATAATATGTTCGTGTTGCAAGCTGCAGCCGGGAGCAGGGATCACCCCTAGCAAGTGGCAGAGAACCTCCTTCCCATCTCCAGTACCTGCGCTTATTTGGGCCGCGGCTGCACTAGCACCGGTCAGTCCATTCCGGAGGTCTAGATACGGCATTCCCTTGAGGTGGCGCTCCCGGGAATGGGGAGCTGGCTACACTTGCACCCTCCTCAGCCGCCGGCCTTCAAGCAGTAGAGGGCGGCCTACGCTCGTGTTGGAATCGGCGCCCACGTGTGCAGACGCTGCACTGCTGAAAGTCTCCCGGTCCTGCCGTGGTCCGTGGCCGTGCCTGGCCGGGGATGCTGCAGCTACGCTATCCGTGGGTGCAACGAGAAGGGGGCGGGGAGAACCCCTGGCACACGCCAGGGTCACCGTAGGTGGCAACGGCTAGCGCATGCGCGTCCTCTCCCAGAAGTCTGGAACGCCGAGGGGCGCGCGCCCCCATTTGCGCGCGCACGCTTGCGCTAGCCTGGGTTTCCCCGCCTGCTCTCGTTGTCAAAGCGCTCCGGCGCGTGCGCGCGTTATCTCCGGCCGACCCGAGTGGCCGGGTTCCCTCTGCTCCAGGCCCCCACCCCGCACCGCCCTCTCTGAGTCCCTAGTCTACCCGTCCTCTTCCTTTCCTCACGGAATGGGGCTGGCGCTGCTCGGGGTCGCGCGCCCGGGACCCAGCTCGTGCTCGGTCTCGTGCTGTCAGCGACTGCCCGGCTCGCGCCTCCTCTCGCTTTCCCTCAGTCACTGGCGCCGAAGGCTCCGTTAAGCAGTGGTGGCGGCGGCGGTGGTTCCTGTTTCCGTTTCTTCCTCTCCCTTCAGTCGAGAGTAGCATCCTCCACCCAGCTACCCCTCCCACTCCCACAACGCAGGGCAGCTGCGGCTGAGAGCTGTAGCGGCGGCAACTGGGAAACAGCGGAGACCGCCTCTGCTCCCGCCCGGGTAAGGGGGCGTTTGGGGGCCGGGCCCTGCGAGCCTCGGGGTCTGGGGCTCGGCAAGCGCGCGGTCTGCCGAGGCTCCGGGGATGTGACTAGAGACTGTCGCTGCTCTTTTCCCCTAGGCGATCCCCGGGCCTGTTGCTGCAACTGCTGCTGCTTATCCAGCGGCTCCGGGAAAAGTGGGGAGGGAGCCCTTGGGACGATCGGGCGCGTGCCTTTGCGCCGTCCGGGAGGGCGCGGGCAGCGGGTGAGGGGCGCCCGCAGCCCGGGCCAGGACACGGAGCCCTGCGGCCGTTGCCCTCTGTGTTTCGCATCGTTGCATAGGGCAGGGGCCGAAGCCGAGGAAAAAAGAAGGGATGGGGGCAGGGTAGGAGGTGTCCTCTTCTCCGCACCTACCTGCCCTTTCTCCAGCAGCTCTGTCCCAGTAGTCACGGACTGCGGGGAGGAGGATGTCTTTGAGTTGCACGCTTTCTAGAGGGGTTCTCGGTCTAGAAATTAGGGAGTGGACCCACACAAAGATCCACTCCCAGCGAGGGGCCAGTGCCTGGGCACTTAGCGGCACGAGTGCTCCCGCACCCCGCGTTTGATTTGGAAATGATGAGCTGGCGGCTTTCGAGTATCTAAACTTACTTGGAAAGGTTAAATGATTCCGTCTTTATTAGTTAAAGGAGGTTTGTCCTGCAAGAGTGAGTGGGTTGTGGGTCGCAGCACCTGTTCTCTCACCGAGGGGACTGCAATCTTAAGCTACACAGAACGCTGGAGACGCAGTGTATTTCTTAAGTTCAATGACAATGTCGTGGTTAGGGTTCATCCCTGGGGAGCTTTTCGCGTTTTGCCATATATTAACTTGCTTGCTTGCTTATTTACTTATTTATTAGTTGTAGAAATGGAATGTATTTTCTTTAAGAAATAAAAACTGAGAAGAAAATGCCACTTAACATCATTGGTATGTCAGTATAGGTCAGCAGGAGAAAACACTGTGATAAGCTTCTCTTTGATACCATATTCCAGTCTGAGCTTTAATATGCATCCCATGTTTTTTTCTACTAGATATTTTTCATCCTTTTCCATATTTCATATCAGAGGATTGGTACAGACTTTAAAACTTCATTAATAGGAACAAATCCAATATCCACAGATTTCTTCTTAAAAGGCACTCTAACCCATGAGCTAGCCTGGCAGTTTCTCCTGAATACTCTAGCCATTAAAAAACAAAAAACAAAAATAAAAAAACCTCAATAGGGCAGGGATGAATCCCATGAAGAGAAGAAGAAGTCTACTGAGTTTTTCACTGCTTGGTGCATTGGATCAGTCTAAGATTATGAAACCTAAACTAGGAATCTGGATGTGAGTCCTTCCATAATATATTGTCCATTTACTTTGTAGGCCAAGAAAGCTACTGGTCTCTGATGCCCATGTTCATCAGTCATAGAGCCAACACTCGGAGGTTCAACAATAACATAATAAACTATTTCTCTGGTGATGAATAAGTAAGACACCACCACCAGAGTGTACACCCAGGGTGGCCTCATCAGCTTCAGGTTGGGGCGTTCCAGCTCTAAGAATGGGACTGGTACAGTCTCCATGTTGGTGGTGGCAAGAGCAGCTCTCAGTCTCTAAATTAACTTCTTGATTGAGGTCTTGCATAAAGGTAGGGAGAGGTGTTGTTTTACTTTCTGCGTCTGAATTAATTTACAGTTGACTGAAGCCAAGTCAAGAAAGTGGACCTAGAAAGCTAGAATCTCTAGTAGGTAATCCCAAACTTCCAGTAGCACAGGACAAATTTCAACAGAAGTGTGGTGTTTTTTTTTTTTTTTTTAATCAGTTTAGAATAAAACTCATCACACATAACTGACTGAACTTTGGCTTGTCTCTCTTTAGAAACTGTAGACAAGGTTCCATTATACTAGTTTTTTTTTCCTTGTTATTCCTGGGGCTAAGTTCATGTTTATTTTGTTGATTAAATTTTATGTTTTTATGCATAATTCTTTTAAAGGGTGCATTGTGTAGAAATCATTTTAGGAGAGATTATTTAAACATGACAAAGGTACACTGAAATACTGGAGTAAGTTGTATTCTCTCTTCTTTAAAATAAGTTAAAAATGCCCTAAAATGTTATGCCAAAATAATAAGGTCCTGTGTTGCTAGCCTTGTGAAATATACTATAAAATGTGTATAGAAAGTCTTGATTACTTTATTTATAAATACAATAGTAAAAATAAGGTGGGAATTTAAACATTTGAAATTGTGATTTTTATAGTTTAATACATAAGAATATAGGGAGTTAGAAATGAGTAGTTTAGAAGGAAAAGAGAGGGTAGTTTGGAGGCGTGGATTTTCCTTTTGCTGTGTTATAAATTGAGAATTCTACTTGAATTGATGAGCTGAAAAACTGGAATGAAATTTGCATAGACTGCAGAAACAAGCAAAAATACATTTTTGATTGAGTGAGTAGTGAGCTGACATGAAGAGTATATTGTGGTTTATTAGGACAGTGGTTCAAAATAATTTCCATAAAATATACCATTATATAGATTATTTTAGGATGTTCTTAAATTTTGAGAGTCCTTTGTAGTTTTTTTTCCTACAAGTCAGTTCTGTTGGAGATGTCTGGAATTGAAAGAACAGTAATTCTGATTACATTCTGCAATATTTGGTTACAAATTTTAACTAGTTCTTTTAAGGAATTTGAATGTTTTTAGAAGTCGTGAATTTTGAAATTTGCTAGTGTCTTGGAAAAACTTGTGTTCCTTGTTTATTTTTTTAAGTGCAGTTGTATTATTAGAAGGTTGGTCTGGAGGGGGAGCTAGTGTCAAAGCAAAGCATAGCTTAGTACGTTTGAACTTTTAAGGCACTCCAAATCAGATTATTATGACCAGAAGAAACATACATTTTTAATGAAAAGAGTAAGGAAATTGATATAGGCATATATCTGTACATAGTTGTTTGTGGAGTATATGTATTGTATATTACACATTAATTAAAATATCTTTTCATGATCTGAAATAATGGAAAGTACATGTTTAAGGTTTATTGAATTTCTCATTTAAAATCTCTGAAAATGTGGCTCTAAACTTAGAGTGTGTGATAGGTTCTTAACCTTCTTTTGCAGTATACCAGGAGGGAAGGAGTATATCTTGATCCTTTGTGCATATTGCATGTTGTTAAATTTTTTCATTTTAATATCTGCAGTCTTAAATATCAAAAAAGCTTCAAGTAGAGTGTTATATTGGCAAAGATATAAATTGTGTGGTAATATAGGTATTTATTAAAAGTAGAGGTACTTTTAATAAAGAAATGGACCCTTGAAACATCTGTAGAGCAAGGATCCCAAGGTCGCTTCTTAACCTGTCTCCTGTAATGTAGTGGAGCAAGTCCAACTGATCTACTATTTTGAACTTGTGCTTTTGAAATGAAGCAGTTACTTTATTTTATTTTTTGGTCTAAAGCCCTTTATTTAGATGTCTGGACTGTAAGGTATGTGAATTTACTTTTCACTGTTCACATTCTTCGAAGCTAGAAATTGGTAATGTATATATTAAAATCATTAGAATATTTAGTTTCTGAAAATAGTGGTTGGGCTGTATGTTTTCCATTGTTCTTCAAAATGTAAATAGAGTGTCAATGATGATAAAATAAAAAAAAATAGATTCTTTGAAAGGAATGACAATATTTGTGAGAATAGTGATGTGTTTACCAGGTTTAAGGGGTTAATGTTAAAATAAAACAGTTTTATAAGACATGCTGGGATATGTTTGTATACTTTTTACCATAATTTGTTTTTGTGCTGAAACCCAGGAACAAATCCTTACTGTTTTTAATTGTTATTTTTTTAAATATAATTTAATGGGGTGACATTGGTTAATAAAATTATAGGTTTCAGGGGTACACTTCTACAATATGTCATCTGTATGTTGTATTGTGTGTTCACCATCCCAAGTCAAATCTCCTTCCATCACCATTTAGCCCCTCTTTGTCCCCTCCAACCTGTCTTCATCTCCCTTTCCTTCTGGTAATCACCGTACTGCTGTCTATGAGGTTTATCTTTTTGTTCGTTTGTTTTTGTTTTTTTGTAAATTCCTTAACCATTTTTATCCAGCCCCTCTGACAGCTGTTAGTCTGTTCTCTGTATCTATGAGTCTGTTTCTATTTTGTTAGTTTATTTTTTTCAATTAGATTCCAGATAGAAGTGAAATCATATGGCGCTTGTCTTTCTCTGACTGGCTTATTTCACTTAGCATAATACCCTCCAGTTCCATCCATGCTTTTCAAAGGCTAAAATTTCCTTCTTCATGGCAGAGTAGTATTCTATAAATGTACCACAGCTTTTTTTATCCACTTATCTACTGATGGGCATTTGGGTTGCTTCCAAATCTTGTCTATTGTAAATAGCACTGCAGTGAAGATAGGGGTGCATGTGTTCTTTCAAATTAGTGTTTTGGCTTTCTTCGAATATATTCCCAGAGTGAAATCATTGGGTTATAAGGCAGTCGCATTTTTAATTTTTTGAGGTAACTCCATACTGCTTTCCACAGTGGCTGCTCAGTCTGCATTCCCGCCAACAGTACGTGAAGGTTCCCCTTTCTCCACACCCTTGCTAACGCTTATTGTTTGCTGATTTATTGATGATAGCCATTTTGACAGGTGTGAGGTGATATATCATTGTGTTTTTAATTTGCATTTCTGTCACGATTAGTGATGTTGAGCACCGTTTTATATGTCTCTCGGTCATCTGTATGTCCTCTTTGGAGAAGTATCTACTTGGGTCCTTTGTCCATTTTTTGATTGAATTGCTTGTTTTTTTGGTGTTGAATTTTATAAATTCTTTATAAATTTTGGATATTAGTCCCTTATCAGCTATATCATTGATGAATATGTTCTCCCATTCAGTGGGTTGTCTTTGCACTTTCTTGTGCAAAAACTTTTTAGTTAGATGTAGTCTCATTTGTTTATTTTTTCTTTTGTTTCTCTTGCCTGAGGAGATATATTGCAGAAAAAATATTA